TAAAATATTAGGTTTATCTATGTAGAGGTGTCAAGAAAATGTGACAAGTCTAGTTACTGAAACTTTAATGCATTAATTTGTATCTTTTTTCTTTGTCAAATGTTTTTATGAATCTATTACAATTCAATTCAAAATTTACCTAATTTAGCCTTTTAACACAATTTTTTGAAAAAATAGACTATAAACTAATAATATAAAATAATTTTACACTATTATATAATCACAAGAAATTATGTTTGATAATTTTTTTGGCATTTATAATATTTGCATTAAAAGCCATATCAGTAATAATTTTTTATTGGTTGATAATATTAAAAAATTACAACAACAGTACATAATTATTAAACCATAATTTTTACAGTATACAATTTTCATCTTTGCTTTCCCTAACACACAAATTTATGCAATCTATTTAGTTTAAGTAGAGTATTAGTAAGATATTCTCTAATATTTTTATTTTAACACAATTTTTTATTAGTCATTTTTAAAAATAAAAATAAAACTACAAAATCGTGAAAAGTTTTATCAAACAAGATTTTGGATCAATTTTTATATATATATTTTCAATAAATTTTAACTAATAAAAAATTACAATGAAAACAATGTGCTAGAGAATTATTGCTAACATTTATCTTAATTTAAAGAGTGAAACAGTGGGAGCGTCCGAGGATTGTCACTAACATTCGGAGCTTTGTGGATTTGGCGGGTTACTATCGACGGTTCATTGAGGGATTCTCCAAGATAGTAGCGCCTCTAACCCAGCTGACGAGGAAGAAGCAGTCGTTCATTTGGACAGATGCCTGTGAACGGAGTTTTGAGGAGTTGAAGAGGAGGTTGACTACTTCTCCTGTGTTGGTGTTGCCGGATTCTGGTGAACCCTTTGATGTGTATTGTGATGCTTCTCACCAGGGTCTTGGGTGTGTGCTGATGCAAAACAGGAACGTGGTGACATATGCTTCAAGGCAACTGAAGAACCATGAGAGGAATTATCCCACTCATGACTTGGAGTTGGCAGCTATTGTTTTTGCCTTGAAGATATGGCAACATTATCTGTATGGTGCTCAGTTCAGCGTCTTCAGTGATCACAAGAGTTTGAAGTATCTGTTTGACCAGAATGAGCTGAACATGAGGCAAAGGCGGTGGATGGAGTTTTTGAAGGATTATGATTTCCAGTTGATGTATCATTCTAGTAAGGCCAATGTTGTGGCGGACGCGCTGAGTAGGAAATCCATCCACATGTCTGGTATGATGGTGAAGGAGTTGGAGTTGGTAGAGGAGTTCAGGGATTTGAATCTCTGTGTGGAGTTAGCTCAGGATCACATTAGTTGTGGGACAATTATCATAACTAATGAGTTCTTGAGGCAGGTGGGACTCAAGCAGTTGCAAGATGTTGAGCCGGTTAAGCTTCTTGGTTTGCTGGGTACCGAGAAGGCTGTAGGTTTTGAGCTGGGAGAAGATGGAATATTGAGGTTCAAAGGTAGAGTTTGTCTACCTCAGGATGTTGAGCTAAAGAGAGTTGTGTTGGAGGAAGGCCACAAAAGTAGACTTAGCTTACATCCGGGTATGACTAAGATGTACCAAGACCTCAAGAAGACTTTCTGGTGGTCTGGTATGAAGAGGGAGATAGCTGAATATGTGGCGGCCTGTCTGACCTGTCAGAAGGCGAAAGTGGAGCATCAGAAGCTGAGTGGGTTGATGCAGCAGATTGAGATTCCAAAGTGGAAGTGGGATAGCATTACTATGGATTTCATTGTGGGGTTTCCTAGGTCAGCTAGGAATAGTGATGCTATCTGGGTGGTTGTTGATCGGTTAACCAAGTGTGCGCATTTCTTGTCTGTCAACATCAAGTGGTCTTTGGAGAAGCTGACGCAGTTGTATGTGAGGGAAATAGTATGGTTGCACGGGGTGCCTTCCAGTATTATTTCAGATAGAGATCCGAGGTTCACTTCCAGATTTTGGCAGAGTCTACACCAAACCTTAGGCATGAAGCTGAAGTTGAGTTTTGCCTATCATCCACAAATGGATGGTCAGTCAGAAAGGACAATCCAGTCCTTGGAGGATTTGCTGAGGGCTTGTGTGTTGGACCACTTGGGTAGTTGGGAGGAAGTCCTACCGCTGGTGGAGTTTACGTACAATAATAGCTTTCATGCTAGTATTGGGATGGCGCCGTTTGAAGCCTTGTATGGCAGAAGATGTAGGACTCCTCTGTGCTGGTATTAGGATGGTGAGTCAGTGGTTGTGGGACCGGAGCTGATCCTACAAACTACTGAGAAGGTAAAGATGATTCAGGAGAGAATGAGGACTGCTTAGAGTAGGCAGAAGTCGTATGCTGACAAGAGGCGGAAGCCTTTGGAGTTTGCTGAAGGGGAGCATGTGTTTCTGAAGGTGATTCCGACTTCTGGTGTGGGTAGAGTGCTGAAGGCAAAGAAGTTGACACCGAGGTTTGTGGGTCCCCATCAAATCATACAACATGTGGGTCCGGTTGCTTATCGGTTGGCCTTGCCCCCGTCCCTCTCAAACCTACACGATGTATTTCATGTATCTCAGTTGAGGAAGTATGTCCATGACCCGAGTCATGTGGTGGAGCTGGATGATGTACAAGTGAAGGAGAACCTGACCTTTAAGAAGTTGCCAGTAGCTGTAGTTGATCATAAGCTGAAAGAGTTGAGGGGCAAGTCCATTGCTCTGGTGAAGGTGTTGTGGGATGCAGCTACTGGTGAGGCTACTTGGGAGGTGGAGCAGCAGTGCAGGGAGCGGTATCCGTTTCTTTTTCCAAGTAAGACTGTTTTCGGGGACGAAAACTCCTGTTGTTGGGGAGGTTGTGAGACCCCGTACGGATTTTCTTTCCCCAACCCTCTTCCTCTCTAAACTCTCACTCTCTCTCATTTCTCTTATCTCACTCTCAATCTTCACCCTTTTCACTTGGACCTTCCTTTTGGCTGCTACTAGGTGGTGGAACTAAGTGAAGTGGGTTGCTAGCTGGTGTTGAAGTTCTCTATTCTCCTTTCTCATGTTCAAGTTTCCTTCGTTTTCTCTTTGGGTTATCCCCAAAGCTCGAATTTCTTTGTACCGAGGTAAGGAAAGTTAGTATTTTGCTGCGTTTTTGGCTGGAAAATGGGTTTAGGAACTCATTTGGCTGCTGGTGATTGATTGTGTATGGCTGAGCTTGTTGAAAATTTGGGGTTTTGGGGTTTTGTGGTTTTGAGTTAAAATTTGGGATTTTCTTTGATTTGTTGTTGCATGCACATAAAGCTGGTACTTTCGAACTCCTTGTTCGTTTTCAAGCTCCTTCTTCTTCCTTTCGTCCTCCATTTCCCGGAAGCTCGGATTCTTTTTCGAGGTAAGGGAAGCTAGTTTTCTTGTTGCGTTTTGGCTGAAAATGGGTCTAAGAACTCATTTGGTTGTTTATGATTGTTGATTCTTTACTGATTGGGTGGAAATTTGAGTTTTGGGGTCTTTGGGGTTTTGAGAAAAATTTGGGGTTTTTCTTTTTTTGTTGTTGCATGTGTAAAAAAATGGTGTTTTTTGACTCTTGGATGAAAATGTGGTACTTTGAACCATTTGCATGCTGGATTTCTAATTATTTTGCAGTGTTGGGTGAAATTTTTGAACTTGCTGGTGTTGCTGCTGAGCTTCGCGATGAGTGCAGTTCTTCACGCCAGGCGCGTGGCTACCAAGGGACTTCATTTAGGCAAGCCCGCCGGGCGCAATGATGGGTGCGCCAGGCGCGCTTGGGAATGTGGGTCTCTGGCTAGTCCGCGCTGGGCGGGGGTTGGGCCGCGCTGGGCGCGATATCAGTTGTACCCTGATTTGGGCTTTTTGTTTCTGCGCTGAGCGCGACCCTTGTCGCGCTGGGCGGGAGACTCCTTGGGAGTCTCTGTCTTGAGGGCGCTGGGCGCAATTTGAATTGCGCTGGGCACGAGACCAAGGGAGGTCTCTGCCTTCCTCATGCTGGGCGTGGGTCTAGGCACGTTGGGCGCGTGAGACTCCATGGAGTCTTTGCCTGGCATGCGTTGGCGCAATTGGTATTGCGCCAGGCGCGAGTGAGCCTTGGGCTCTCTGGATGGGTCCCTCCGGGCGCGGGCAGGCTGCGCTGGGCGCGTTGGCCCCCTGGTGCTCTCTGGTTGCACTGCGCTGGGCGCAACCACGAGTGCGCCAGGCGCAGAGATGATAATTCACTATATGTTGTCTAATGTTGTTTATGCGGAGCTAAGTCGAAGTTGATAAACATGAAGTGATGACTAGTAGCTAAAGTTGTTTGATGATGTTGAGTTGTATCAGATGAATATTGTTGTAAGATGTCTTGATGTGTTGTAAGAGGATATGTTGTGCTATAAAGTTGTGTTGTGTTGTATGATGATATGAGTTGTGATAGGCCATAAAGGCTGAGTTGTTGTAGGCCATAATGGCTGAGTTGTTGTAGGTCATAAAGGCTGAGTTGTTGTAGGAGATCTTCGAGATGATATGCGTGACGACACATTATTTGCCAATTGCTGGTTTGTTGTACAATCGATGAGATGTAGGCTGACGATGTGTTGATAGTTGTAGTTGTTCATATTACTTAAATCTTGCTATACGTTGTTCTTTTTTTACTAGCTTACCCTTTGTGTTTCCATGTGGTTGGATTGCTATGATCGTATTATGTACGAGAGCAGAGCAGGGATAAGCGGGTGGCTAGTGGTGAGTCTGCAGCTGGCAGGCGGAGCTGATCCTAGTAGATGTTTTGTTGTTTCAGCTACTTGGTGTAATAACTTGAATGTATTTTTGTACATTTTAAATCTAGTCAGACTTGGACCATGTATATATGTATATTCTAGACACTATATGTATGCACTTGTTCCTTTCTGTCCGGTTTTCAGGTGTACCGTGTAGTGTGTAGTGACCAGCCGGGTCGTTACTTCTCTATTAATCAATTTCAGTTTTTTCTTATTTTTTATTTTACACAATCAATGATATATAAATATAAATATATTTAATCAGTCAAAGTTTACATATCGATAATAGGAAGAATAATCTTCTAAGAATCACAATCAAAATCGGTAAAGGATGTATTATATATATATTTATAATCCCTCAAATGAAGGAAACAAAGTAGAATGTATAACACGACACGTGTATGGAGCAATACAAGATATTATAAGTTTATTACAGCATAAAACCAAAGCTGATGGAAAATATTATAATAGGACCCGTATAGATCTTAATTATAGATAATTGATAAAATAAAAATAAAAATACTGCTCCTCGTTGATAAGATCGATCGATGTTCTATGGCAATGCTTGGCCTCTCAGATTACATGGTCCTTTTCTAAGATAATACCATGGTCCTGTCCCTGTTCCCATCCTACACATACATTCATGAAATATGTAACCTATCTTTGAAGTATATATAAATTTAACAAGTAAAATCAATGCGACTAAGAAAGCAAATAAATTGCATCAATTATAAAAACTAATAATTATAGTTTATCAAATTAAATATACTTTTAAAAACTAAATAACTAAAATTAGGTGCTTGAATTGTGATTTTCTATTCCATATTCAATAGCATAAATCCTATATATGTCTATATAATTTAGCAACTCAATGTATGAAGCCCTTTTTAGGTTGGTATCATTTTGTGTTTTCTCAAGATTTAAAAGATTGAATGGAAACTAGTTAGAAGATGGAATGGTTTCTTGCTTTTGACAAGGAGAAGTTTACCTCCATATACCAACTATCATTCGAAGAATCATATATATGGTTAGTGCAATCCAAATCCCAACGAATAGTTTTCTCTTGAAGAGAAAGATTTCTATAGGAATGCTTACTAATGACACCAAGACCTAAACAAAGAGAGTAATTAGCCAAAAGTTACTAAATGGAATTGGGTAGTTAAGGGTGACATATAATAATAATAATATAAAAAAAACAGGCATGTGAACTTGCCAACGAGTAGGCAGAATATGCAAAATCAGAAGCCCCATAGTTGACACCATCAAAGACGAAGGCTAATGAATTGATTGGTTGAGTAGCTGCAACAAACTGGTGAAATAAATGATATTAGTAAACAATCATACATAAATATATTGATATATCATATATGTATGAATGATTTGTGATTATTTTAAATAAAAATAAGATAACTTTAGTATTATTTTATACCTTAATATTATCTAAACTTTACAAAATAAACATTAATGTAAGATGAGTGTTGCATTAATGTTTCTTCACTTATATATTTTTATTAGCCTAATAATTAGTGGATGCTGAGATTTAGAAATTTCTTGGTATATACAATCTTGTTTTGCTTTAGGGGCATACCGGCATGCTTATTTTGATTAATTGGACAACTTGAGCATTTTTGGAAAATATTCCAGCTCCAAAGTATAATCCAAATGCAACTACAAGAGAGAGCCCCACTCCTAAAACAAAACTCATTTGTAGTGTCCTTGTAGCAGCTGCAATTGCCTTGTTGAAGTCTTTCTCAGCAAAGGAACAAGCTAGAATTGTCTGTGAACCAAACCAACTGATTAATTATATCTGACTTTTATTGCACATCAGTTACATTTCTCTGCAACTTCTTGCAATTTCAAGACCACAACTGCAATTCCTAGAAATGAAGTATAATTTATTTGTTTATTTTATTTTTACCTGAACAGCAACAGCTAAACCATCAGCAAGAAGGGATGATGCCAACCAGATCTGTAGGCCCGGTTGAAATGCAGCCATGGGAATTGAACCTAGCCTTGCTGCCAATGATGATGCTAAGGTCATACAAAATGTAACTGATACTACTCTTGTTAACAATAGACCTCCTGTAGAAAATTATGAAATTGAATATGAATCTCCTCATAACAAGTAACACAAAATTCATTAATCTTATTTATTACTATTTATATATACATCCAATTATTTAATTCAACAAAATTAAAAATAATAGTTAATTCAGTTGATAATAAATTTATTCTCTCTATATATATGAAATATATACTTTATACTATTTTCCTTTCCTAATTAATATTCATATATCCTTTGATCAATTAGGTGCACACCAAATACTATTTCTCTTTTTAATTAATATTCATTTTTCATTTAACCAATTAGAAGACATTCTTTTCTAAGAATTTATAGTTAATGCATTTTACCAAATTAAGAAAATACACTTTCGTTAAAGATGTTTTAATTTAAAAATAAGCCTAAAATCTTAATTTGGTTCCTTATAATATTTTAAAGTTTCAATTTAGTCCTACTTTAATTTTTGAGTTCAATTTAGTCTCACTTGTCAAAAATACTAACAATGTTTGTCTTCCGTCTAAATTTCTCAAACGCCATTTAAGAGTCATGAGAATCACGCATGTAATTCTCAATCACCCCTGTGATTTCGACGGTATGAATCACATAAAAAAAAAATCTGCTAAGTAAGAGCCGTGAGAAGCACATCCGTGATTCTCAATCACATGGACACTCTTAAACGGCATTTGAGAAATTTAGACGGAAGACAAACATTACTAGCATTTTTAATAGGTGTGACTAAATTGAATCTAGAAATTAAAGTAAGACTAAATTGAAATTTTAAAATATTATAAGGGACCAAATTAAGATTTTAACTTAAAAATAATATATATATATATATATATATATATATAGTTTATTTAAAAAAAAATTATTCTAAATTGAAGACTAATAATAATTAAAGCAGTATAAGTGTTGATGAATTGGATGGAATTAGATTTAAAGGGAAAAATATTTGATTGAAAAATAATATTTAATATTTTTTTGGAAGATAAATCTGCTCTAAAAATTGTCAAATATTAAGCATTATTTTCAACAAAAATTTGAATCTTTATTATAGGAGATTAGTCCCTTTTTCTCACCACTCTTAGTACCTTCAAAACACATAATCATAAGTCACACAAATCGATGCAATTTGTTAAAATAACTTGATATTCTTAAAGCATTGAATTTTGGTTCTGTTTTTCCATTTGAGATTGAATCTTATGAATACTCCAAATTGTATGTGAGTTTTGTCTTTTCTTTCTCAATAAAATAAAGAATCAACAACTTCAACATATGTGAAAAGTTTCAGCACTTCACCATTTTTAAGAAATCGGAAAATCTGCAAATCCTTTAAGCTTGGAGGTAGGAGATGTACTCTTTTCATTAACAACAAAAGGAGGGTGGTTGCCATCATGTACCTATAAGGATCATCACCATTTTGTTAAATACAGTTAGTTGTATGAAAAAAAAAAAAAAAAAAAAAAAAAGAGTTAACCTTATTGCTATGAGATATAACAATGAAAGACTTACTGGGAGATAACGTGTGCCATAGCTGCACCTTTGAGGCCCAATTTCAAATAAAAAATAAGTATTGGGTCCAATAGGACATTGAACGCGTACCCCGAAACTAAGCAAAACAAAATAAATAAATGACCCAAATTAGGAAAAAACATTTGAATACATAATATAATGCAAAAGATTAGCCTTTAAAGCATTTTGCTCTTCCTTTGCATGATTTTATTTATATCTCACATTTTATCTCATTTTGAGGAGTGCTAATATATAATTTTTTCTTTTAATATATATAATCTTTATTATCATTCTAATTTTGGATAGAAATCACATAATTTTTTTACGAGGAATAATTTTGTTTGAGTTTGTAAGATTATTATATGACGTACCAATGACATATAAAGGAGTTGTTGTGTCCTTGAATCCTCGAAAGATTCCTTGCATGGCCAAGGAGAGAAGAACAGCAGGTGACCCAATCGATCTCAATGTTAAGTACTTCTCCGCCGGACTTAACATAGGAGAATCCTATAAATAAAGTTCAAATTACTCATTATATAAATAAAGAAAAATGTTACATGTAGTGGTATGTAAATATAAATTTATTTGACATATATCTACAAATAATTGTAGTATTAATTTTAAATGAGATTTAACAATATATATTATATGTGCTAAACTTATACTTTTTAATAATATATCAACACATATTATATTTATAATATAGATAAAAGTGATTTTAGCCCTAATGAATATCTTGCTGACTATTATGAGACTCTGATTCCCAAGAAATTAAGAAGACCTTTACCAAAAGGTAGCTCCCAAGGCCACAATTTTCAAACAAAAGAATAGGAATGGTATAGACATTGACCTCTCAAATAATTTGTCTAAAATCTATCCAAACATGTAAAAAAAAAATTCAAAAATTGACTTTATGTCCTTATAAGATGTGTCACTATTTAATAAATATATGTAAACTTACATGTTTTAGACCCATTGCATATAAAAGAGGTTTGGCTGCAAATGAAAGTATTGCAGTTTGAAGTAGGCCAAGAATTGTGCCAAAAAGTAATGCGGTTGTTGCTGAAGCTATGCGCTTTTTTCCAACTTTGTGCTTGTTTATATTAGTATTACTTGTAACTGTTTTTGAAAAGAAAATAAAAAAGTATTAGAAGATGATCTCAACTCATGCAAAGAGTCTCAAATATTTCACATGATTCACACACCAATTAGAAAACAATAAACCGAGGAAGCTTTGCATAACTTAATGAATTTATAAGGTTTTGAGGTACGAGAACTATTTTGTCAAGTACAAGAAAGTAAAATTTGTGGCTTTTTACCTACTAGGGATAAAGTTTTTATTTGAAAATAATGTTTTTTAAAAAAGAGTTTGAAATGAGATAATTTGTATTTATGGAGCAGAATTTGTAAAAATCGTGTTTTGAGAAACACCACTTCTACTCTTTTTTTTTTTATAATAAAAATAAGGAAAAAATTAGAGTCGTATTTTAAAACTGATTTATGTTTTTTTTTCTTAAATTACATGAAAATATTATTTTAATGTAAAAAAATAAAAATAAAAATAAAAACAAAGTCTCACTTATAATCACGGCTTGTCATTTCTTAAATAAATAAAATAATGGATGTCATGTTTTTAATAACGACTTCTGATTAAAAAAAACAAAAAAAAAGTGACTTTTAACGAAGACAAAACGAACACGCTTGCCAATTTTAAGAATTATTTTAGTTTATGTGATATATAAGTTAAATATTTATTACATATAATTAAAATTTTAAATAAATATTATTTTTTAATTAGTAAATATTATGTTTAGATATATAAATTATATATAAAATTTGAATAAATATATAGATTATATTTTAAATTTATAATAAATAACTTATATCATAATAATACAAATTATTTTTATTTATTAATTTATAAATAATTATGACAAATAAATATACGAGATTGAAATAATTTCTAAAAACTTTTTCTTGAAGAAAAGTTTTTAAAAACTTCTTCACACAAAAAATTCGTTCATATCTTATATATAGTGGTTGATTTTATCCTTTTTAGAATTTATATTAAAAAAATTACTCCTAACTTGTAAAAGGCCAAAATTTTACTATCTTAAACAAATGGAAGAATATTTATTACAAGTTGATTTTATATGGTTGTCCTCATTCTAAACCTAAATTTTAATAATTTTTCATTGGTTAAAATGTTTTTGGTTGCACTTTGATTTCTAGAAAAGTCACTATCAACACCATTTTTTTTTCTTTGTATGATAAGAAAAAAGGGTTGATCACAAAGCATGTGGCATGGATGTTAAGGTGTTATATGCAAATTCACATGCACGTGGACAAGTACACACATAACATTGAAAGAGAAATACGTAGATTGTAGAGAGAAAATATACCATCTCCATTACATATCATGTCCTTGTTCCCTTTAGCATAATTTTCCACATCGTTGGATATGAACTTTTTCGCCTTGATATCGTTTGATTTGTTGGTTACTTCATTGGATGCTCCTGGAGCCTCATTATTATTCTCTTTGGGTGTATCATTTTCTATGTCTCCAATAATTATTACTTCGTTGAGCTTAGGGTTATCATCTTGAGTTTCTTTGCTAAACTTTTGAATGGTATCTTCCTCAGCCACAAAGGAAGTTGTAATACTAACTAGAGGGAATATGGTAATCCTTGAAGCTTGGTTGAATAAAGCAATGGAAACTCCTGCAGCAGCAAGTTCTACTGGTCCTATATTCATGACAAAAGAAAAGTTATTCTCAAAGGCTATAGCTAAATAACAAAGAAAACATTCTAATGCATTTTTATTTTTCATGAAGGATATCCTTTATGCCCTACTTTGGGGGATGGGGTAAGGAATTGAAATAAAGGGAACGTGTGAGAAATTATTTGATAGGAAATAAATTGGAAATTGTAGTATATTTGTAGAATGGAATTAAATGAGAAATAGAAGAAAAATTCTATTTCAAAATTGTATTTTAGGTAATTAAATTTGTATATAAAAATAAATAATATATATAATTACCATTTAATTTCATCCTTCTCACTTTATTCACGTCTATTTTTATATACATAAACATATGTATTATTCATTTTATCATATTAAAATATGATAATTTTCAAGTATAATGTATTACTTATTAACATAATGCATTATCTAGGGAGTTTTGTTTTCTTCAATCAATGATACATATCATACAAAAAAAATAAAGATTATTTTTGTCTTTACTTCTCAATTCCGTGACAATTATCTCATCTAGAATGATTTAAATCATGAGATCTATCATCTTCTTCATTTAAATACTTGTTAATTCCTTCTTCAAAGAACAAGTGTTAAATATATACATACACCTAACTAATCCATTATCCCATCCGTAAGAATTCCTTCTAAATCCACCTCCCAACTGCAGTGTTAGTCTATTGTATTAAAGACTAATTTCGCTTGTTTTGTATTGTAATTGTCTTAACCCAAATTTTTTTTACACAGGACACAGAAATACAAAATTTACTTAAGACTATGAATTTAATAATGTATTAATATTTAAACTTTAAAGTGGTATTCAATTTGATATTATTCTCTACACACAATCCACTTATCGCAACGGAAAATATTTATGTGATGATGAAGATTTGTGAAAAGCTTAATTTATTATTAATGTTGGGGATAAGCTAGGAAGAGAGATGAATACCCAAGTGGCCTATGAATGTTGTGTCTATGAGAGAAGCAATGGGATCAGCAACAACAGCTAGGGCAGCGGGGAATGCAATCCCTAATATCTCTCGAGAAAGAGCATCCAGCTTGAACAGAAGTCTACATTCACATTAATTACAATATTTAAGTGTTAGAATTTCATTCTTTCTTAGGAGCTTCATATATATATAAATATAATATATGTAAAAGAAATTTCCCCATCAACCACATACAGAGAGGAATGAAGAGGAGAAAAAAAGTAAAATAAGATATCAACTCTTGTAATATATATAAATATGAACTCTCATTCTCGAATATATGGGAATATTTTCTAGTACATTCTCTCTGTTCTCTAATGACATCACTGTCATTTTTAACATTTTTTTTTAAAGAGATTTGTGATATACATATATTAATTCAGACAATAGATAATTTGTATAATTTTTTTTAAAATTTATTTATTTTTCATTATATTATTTATCACATTTCAAATTTATCTCTTTAAAATGTATAATTTATTCAGTAAGTATCATTTTTCTGTTTAAAAACTTATCAAATTATTAATTGTTTTCATTACTTTCTTACTATGCTAAGATTTACTTTTTCCTCTCAAATCTTAAATTTATTACTTTTGAAGTTTTCATTTTTTATTACACTGGATATATATACTACTAGATCTTTTGTAATTAATATCATATATAGTATGCATAATTATGTTACATAAAAATGGGTTACGTATATGAATCTCTCTATATATGTATATAGTTTTAAATTAAATAAAGAAATGGTTTAGTTAGAATAATTATACTAACAGGTTATGTCTAAATACGTATTAAATGTTGATGGCTGCTGATATGTTACACTATCATTAGAAACTATTTAAAAAATTTATAAAGACTAAAACTAACAATTATTTAGAACAAAAAAAGACTCAATATTAATTAACAGATATTAAAGACACGCATATATATCGACCTAAAGAAAAATATGTTGACTCATGTTAATACCTTGCGTCTTTGAAGAAAACAAAGAATGGAATTTCCCGGTTGTTATCTTGCTCGTGGGAACTGCCATTGTTGTCCATGATATTGAAAATTTTGCAGAACGACAGATCCACACGAAGCTTGTGTTTTTCAAATCTGACAAGTTTGAAATTCAGATATGGATCGTTAGTATTGTTCACAAGAAGAAACATGCATGTGTACAAGATTAAAGCATGCAGCAATTGAAATGAAGCAGTAGGTGTAATAAAGTATGGTTGCTACCTTAAATTTAAAATGAAGCGTTGAAAGATCACACTAGAGAAGTGATGTATTTATAGGATGTCACTGGTTGAAAGTTGAAAGTTAGGTCCAATTATATGATACATGTCATTTTCTGAAAAAGATAATAACTAAAATAAAAATACACACACAATGAGGAAGGCCTACTCTCACATATCAATGAGATACAAAATAATTAAAAACGGCATGCAGACGCCCTAACCCCTAAATAATTCACACCACTGCGTGATGAACGCTACCACATATTACCATCATATATATAATAGACAAAAAAATGTAAATTTTGTGACTCCACACACACACATATAAAAGTCATCATATATTAATGTAAGTCTAAAAATTTACATCAAATTTTATATTTTTAATAATTTTTTTATAATATAAATTTAATCAATTAAATTATTGAATTATGTGATATTATATCTAAGATCATGTATATTAAATTTTACATAATTTAAACACTGTTAAATATGTTATCCAAAATTGAATATATATACAAATTTCATATATCATATTTTATCCAAAATTGAATATATATACAAATTTCATATATCATATTTTACGTTAAAATAAATAATGTGACAATTAAATTGTGATATTTAAAATATGAAAATTCTATTTTTTATAACATATCCTGAAAAATTTAAATTCATTATATTTGATAATATTATTAATTAGATCAATTGTTTACGATTCTAAACATACAATTCTAAAATTTGTTTAAGTGTAATTTTAGAGAACAAAAATTAAATTATTGACAAAATTTATATTATTAATGGACTTAACTAATTTCTTAAAGGTATAGTTTAATTAAAAAAAAATCTTATGAATAAGAATTGAGGTAGTATTTTATTTTCCTAAAGATTGTTTATGAATTTTTTTATTTTATTATTATTATTATTTTTATATAAATGTACCCTTAATTAGACATATGTATAATCAATATTCTTTTCCTGGTTGATTTCATTTCTTGATTGTAACTTTTTTATTTTTTTTTTATTTTCAAAACTATTGTTATTTTAAAATTTCAATAAAAATTCATACTTTTTCTTTTTAAAAAAATATCCTTATTTAAACAATTTTTTTTTTCTAACATTTTGTTCACAAAACTGGAGAGAGAAATCTTCAAAATCTCAAGAATCATAACAAGATGGGTAAACACCCTCTAAAGGGATGTTTTCATATGAATTGAGGCAAATAACTCCTTGTGAAGTATGATTGTACACCCTCTCATCATATCAATTACTCACTTTTTTTTTTGAATTTTATTTTAGAGTGAGTTACACAAGTAACACAATTATTGACTACACTAATATTAATTCTATTAATGCAATATTTTCTTCGGTTCTAACTATAAACAATTAAAAATGCATGTTTGTTAGTTTTAAATATAAACAAAGTTTAATTAAATTTACTTTATTTAATACTGAAATTTTTATAGAATACTCTTTCATTTATTTGAGATTGTATTTTTAATAACCCTTTTTATTCTTAATATAAAATTTCTAGAAATGGCAGTTTAGAATATTAGGCTATTTTTAAATGAGATTAGTATAATTAAAGAATATTAATTCACTTTCTTAATTAATGTGAATTACTATTTTATACTTATATTTAAAACCAAAGAAAGTATTAAATAATAAAAAAATAGCCCATATTTATATCTATTAAATATTTCTTAATCTTTTTATATCATGGTATTAGTAGGAATATCTAACAATTTTTTTTTTTTTTGTCAAACCCAAAACTTGAATTTAAGATCTTAAGATTTGAGGATAATTTTAATTCAACAAATAATTTATATAGATGAATATTAAATGACAGAAGAAATTGAATAGAAGGAGTAAAACTTTTGTTTCTCTCCTGGATCCAACCTTAATGAATTATTAGGGACAAGTTCATTTGAAGCGTCGTGCATAGTGCTGGTGCATTTTTAAGCGCTTAAGCGTGCGGGGAATTTATAGTTGACGGCAATGGGGTGTTGGTGAAAGCTATTAGAAATTTAAATTTAATTAACATAATTTAATAATATATATATAAATTACAATATCAAATAGACTCGCTGATTATATGTTCAATTCAAACGCGTTAATTTTGGTGCTTCCATTCTCGTCCATAATAAAATAAATTTTTATCCAAAATTTACATATCTTTTGACTAAACTAAATTAGTTTTAGGTAAAGTTTTAAAATACTCATCTAAAATTAAAAACAAAAATCTCAAGAGAAATGACATAAAAATGCATATTGATTTTTAATTGTGAATTTTATGAGGAGTGTATAAAAAAATTAAAATAAAATGCACTAAATTTATGTAGTTTCATTAATAAAAATAGGTGCAGTGTGATTAGAGATGAGCATATGCTAGACTTTAATCTTTAAAGTTTGGTTTGATTTGATCTTTTTAATAAAAAATTTTAGATTTAAACTTTTAAAAGAGTATTTATTTGAAAATGTTAAGTTTAAACTTATAATAAAACTTGATAGACCAGTTTATTTATTTATATAATATAATAAAAAATTAATATACTTATATTATTAATAATATAATTATATAAATAAAAAAAATAAATTTATAAAGCAAAAAATAAATTAATATTTTTTATCACTCCACACAAATATTTTACATATCCTATTCATAGAAAATCAAAAAATTTGTAAATAGAAATCCTAGTTGCATCTTCATCCACTCTCTTCCTTCATCTTCATGGTTATTTGTTGACTAAGTGCCTCCATCTTTTATTTGTGAATTGTGACTTTAGCTTCAACCTTCAATCCTTCATTCATTTTGTGACTTCACAATTCACCTTTGATTCTTCATCGACATCATTTTCCATCTTCGACCTTTATATTTGATAATCATCACTCGACTCATACAAAAATAATCAACTACAACTTTACAGCTTTGCATTTTTTCTCTCATAGGTAACTTTGTCCATCTTTTTTCTTTTTGTATGTCTTCTATTTTCTGTAATTAGATGATTCTCATTGATATAATTTTCTTATCAGTATCACAATTTTAGATTGAGAAAGATGCAATGTTTCTTTTTTATATTAAAGACTTGAATTCATGTTCATAGTCATGATTATATTATTTTTTGAGTGTCAAGGAATGACTTCACTATTTGAGAACAACAAAGGGGTTGTATCTATTCTTCTAACTATCAATAGGCTAAATGCACATAAATCAATAATAACAAATCCAAGTTAGGTGGAAAACAATGCATAACATAATGAGAAAGATTAAGAAAGTGATATTGTTGTGATTAAGAGGAAAAGGTAAAAAAATTAGTTGTTTGGAATGATTTTGATGAAGTTGAAGTCAATATAGGCATAAAAAATTTGTTTGCAAATAATGCAAAGATAGATTTGCACTCGATGGGACAAGTGTTAACATTATCCATCCGAAATGACATACTAAGAATTGCTTGCAAAGAAGGATACACATGGTTATAGAAAAGAAGCAATTTTTCATTCCCTTTCAGTCTTCTAATCATTTTAATCCATTTATGAGCTTTGGTCTTAGATACAATAGTGAGAAAACGAGAAAAATAACTATCATTGCTATTATGCTTCATGAGCATCCTTTTAATATTGTTGAGGATGAGGTCTGGATGTGGGGCTTCAAGTATGTAAATCCAAAGTTTCAAAAGGTTACTCGTAAAACAACAAGGTGTGATTGTTTAACAATATATAAGATTAAGAAGAAACAATAGAAGATTTTGTTGAAAAATTTGAGCAAGATTAGTTTAACAACAAATATGTGGAAATCAAGCCACCAACTACCAAGTAGTTGAATATATGGTCATCATTGGTCATTTCATTAATGCGACATGGAAACTTCAAAAGAAAGTTTTGAGTTTTGTGAAAGTACCTACTCCAAGTACTAAGTTTTTTCAATATATTAAAAATAAAGTTTTTTAATATTAATTTGTTGACAATGCATCTTATAATGATTCATGCCTGAGAACTCTAAAGGAGAACTTATCATTAAGTACTAAGTTAATTTTGGATAGTTCATTATTTCAGGTTAGATGTTGTGTTTACATATTGAATCTATAGTGGAAGATTGACCGGGTAAGATTAAGGCTATTAGTGTTATGTATATCAATTACAATGATTCTAAGTTGAAGGCTTTTTGCTTTTTGTGATGTTGTTGATGAACAAAACTATCTGAAAGATAGAAACTTAATTATCAATTATCCAACAAGATGGAATTTCACATATCAAATGTTGTCAACCGCTTTGAAGTTTAAGATTGTTTTTGCAACTTATAAGGAAAGGGAGCCACATTATGATTATGCACCTTCACTTGAAGATTGGAACAAAGTTGAGAAAGTTTGTAAGCTTTTGGAGGTGTTTAATCTAGCTACACATAATTTCAGGAAGTGAGTATCCTATTGGAAATTTATATATTGCAAAAGCTTGGAGAGTGAAAATGGTATTTGATAGTGCAAACCGAAGATAAAGATCTTTCTATGAGAGAGATGACAACTCCAATGAAAATGAAGTTTGACAAATATTGCAGACAATGTAATTTACTTATGGCTATTGCAAGTGTTTTAAATTCTAAGGTCAAATTTACTTATGCCAATGGGTTAAATGCACATAAATCAATAACAACAAGTCCAAGTTAGGTGGAAAATAATGCACGACAAAATGAGAATGATCAAGAAAGTAATATTGTTGTGATTAAGAAGAAAAGGCAAAAAAAAGCAGTTGTTTGAAATGATTTTGATGAAGTTAAAATCAATAAAGGCATAAATTTTTTTTTTGCAAATAATGCAAACAACTTTTTTTTACACCTTTACTAACTTCAACATCACCAAAATCATTCAAAACAACTGATTTTATTTTTCCTTTTTCCTTTTAATCATAATAATATCACTTTCTCGATCTTTTTCACTCTATTGTGCATTGTTTTCCACCGGACTTGGCTTTGTTAGTATTGGTTCGTGTGCATTTATTCCATTGATAGTTGGAAGGATAGATACAATCCCTTTGTTGTTCTCAACTAGTAAAACCATTCCTTGACATTAAAAAATAATATAATCATGACTATGAACATGATATGATACCAATAAATGAAAATTATTAATAATAAATGCAAATATACATATGATATATATTTCTGTTTTATTATGATATCTTTTAAGTTTTATCATTGTCATTTGATTAATATTAATAAAATTGAAAGTGTTTAAGTTAACATTAAAAAAATATAAAACGTAAAATATTAACATTTTTAATTCTTGATTTAATAATGTATATTATAAATAATTAAAATAAAATGTATATATAGAATAACTAATATAATAATTAATTAAAAAAACTTTAATTATGATTTTAATATTGACATAAAATTTTCTGTAAATATTATTATAATAATTAATATAATTAATGTCTCCAAATTATATTATATACTAATTGAAAAGATAAAATTAATCTAATTTTGATAGTTTCTCTTTGTTATTTGAGTTTTTAAATTTCGTTATATTGAATAAATGTACATTAAGACATGTAACTCCAAATATTATTTGACTCCTTTTCTGCATATTATTTTTTATTATATAAATGGTAATCTAAGAAATCTTATTTCTACTAATTTTATCTACTCTTTCTACTAATTTTGCTTTTTTAATAGGTGTTGTAAGATTTATTATGTACACTTTTTTTTTTCTTTCAAATTTTAGGGTTGTTTTTTTTTTTCTAAATTCTCTCACTCACTCTTTCTCTCTCTCAGATTTTATTCTTTTAAATAAAACTTAGTTTTAGGTTAATTATAGTTCTAATCAATTTTGGTGTGATTTAATCACAAATACTATCTAACATTTGTGCATTGTTTGAATTGAAATTGAATTATAAGCATGGAATAAGAAGGAAAGAAATACGAGGATAAAAATAAAAGAGAAATATACTAAAATTTTGTGTTATTCATATGTATAAAAATAAGAAGGAAAGAAATAAAACAAAAACTTATTTTCATTTGTTTGGATGAATAGAAAAGATTGAAAAGAATTCAATGAAATAAACCAAAAACTTATTTTCTATTCAAGTGTTAAAGACTAATTCTTTGAGATACTAAGATTTATTTAAGAAATTGACTTCTTTTAAGAAATATTTTTCCTAGGGGTAAGTAAGATTTGTTCTATCCCATTAACCTAGCCAAACCCAAAAAAAATTGGAGATGTCCAAATTTTAAAATTGGATATGAAATATTTTTTAGAATGCGTTCAAATTATCTTTTGTCTCGTCCCAATCCAATTTAATATCTTAAATTATTCCATAAGAAAATTAACAATTGTATATTAATAATGAAATTATTTTATTTAATAGATAGTATTTAGTATAACGTGATATTATATCTATGATAATATTATTTTTAAGATGTACATTGTAAAATCTACCTTGATTTAATTTTAATTTATAACTCTTATTCTACAATTTAAAATTACATAATATTTATTAATATATTATATTAAAACAATGGATTGAACTTGAACTCGTTTGGTCCTCTAATTTTCAGGTCTTGTTTGATTTAAAAAATCATCCAAACAAAATTTTGGGTCGAGGCAAGACAAAGACAAATCTGGCCCAACATGCACGTTGCTCACCCCTAGTTTTTCTGATACACATTGAACAGGGCTCAAATTTCAAACCAAATATTTAGGGAACAAAATTATTTATTAAACATGTCATATCTTGTTGATAATAAATAAATTATATAAAAAATATTTTAAGGGAAAGATAAAAACAATTTAACATGAAACTATAATTAAATATTATCTTGTATCATATATATATATATATATATATATATATTATAATTCATGTTCTACAATAAATTTTAACGATCTAATCATTAAATTAAAATTTCTTAATACATAGATCAAATCTACAATTTTTTTTATAATTTTGAAAAATGTTTGATTATGTGTTTCATTAATTCAAATTGACAGATAATCATAAAAATATTTTATATATTAATTTGAATTAATAAAATGAAATATCAAATAGTTTTTAAAATTTTTAAAAAATTTGTAGACTTATTTATATATTAAGAACTTTTAATTTAACAGTTAAATCATTAAAATTTGATGTAAAATTTGAAAAATGTTTGATTGTGTGTTTCATTAATTCAAATTGACAGATAATCATAAAAATATTTTATATATTAATTTGAATTAATAAAATGGAGTATCAAATAGTGTTTAAAATTTTTAAAAAATTTGTAGACTTATTTATATATTAAAAACTTTTAATTTAATAATTAAATCATTAAAATTTGATGTAATATACAAGTTATTCAACAAAATAAATATAAGTAATTTATTATTTGAGTAAGGAAATCCTCTAATATATACATATAGACACAAAAAAAAAGGGAAGAAAAAAAATATTAGGGTAGTGAAGCATCAAGATAGGATCTATGATTACATATACATTTTTGTTTTTTAATCTACCAAGTTAAAATGTGTTCAAGAACCAGGAGGGGCGGATAAAAGAGAAACATAAAAAGGAATGAACAAATTGCAAAGTTGCTACATGTTGATGTGTTTACAATTACATCATTGTGTACATCTGCTTACAATAACATCCACCGACACTAACTAACAATTTCCATCTCCACATTATTTCTTTCGTTATACACATTACTACATACAACTCAACTAATCTTTATTCCGCTGTTGACTTTATAAATGATCGCTATTTCTCTTGATAAAAGGGTACTTGGATTATTACACCAACCTATTCCCTCAAATTGACACAAAGTACTTCACAAGCAAACCACAGGAGCTCCAACAGCACAAGAAACTCCTGGCTACACTGTACACATACTACTACAATTTTCATTACAGAAACTATGCCTAAGACAATTGGATTCATATTTGGTGCGTGTACAATTTGCAAAAGGATGAAAAGAAATTAACAAAACAAGATGCAAGAAACAAAAGTATGAAAGGATTGCAGAAGGGAAAAATTATGGGTACCTAAAGTTTCCTAATGTGAGGTTTGTGTTGTCTTTGTATATTGCTATATATGCATGTGGTGGGTATGTGAGAGGGAAAGTGAGAAAGAGGAAGGGAATTTCAAAGAAGGGGCATGCACTTATAGAACTTAAAACTCAAGGAAAGGAAAAGAGGTTATGTCTTGCATCAAATTCTCCAAATCCCACTCTCCCATTTTTAAATTTTCCCCTTGCCCATGATTTCCAAACCCAATTAAGTCCTCTACTTTGGAGCCTTGAATCTTATCAGTGTTATTGAAGGAACCATAATTGAAGTGGTTGTTGTTATGGCTTTTCACATCAATTGGGACACTATTGCTTTCAATGCTTCTACTTTCTAGGGAAGGAAGTCCTAACCCCATTTTAGTTGGCTCCAATACCCCATAATTCCCTTGATGCCCCTCCACCATGCCAATTTGGGTCATGCATGATGCAGGCATGTTGGGAAAGTTGGGTGAAACATTAGTGGTCATGTCACACTGATTATTGTTTACAAACATGGAAAAGGGGTCAAATTGGTCAGGCAAAGCCATTGCTTGCATGGATGATATTGATGAGGAGGAGTCCATGCACATGGTCATGATGTCATGTTCATTGAAGGGCATGATCCCACTCAAAACATCTTTAGACTCTGATGAGTCTGTGCTGTTGTTTAGTGATGGAGTACAAGTATTGGTTTTCAACCTTTTTTTCAATGTGGAGTTCCAGAAATTCTTTATCTCATTGTCTGTGCGCCCAGGGAGACGTGCTGCAATCTGAGACCACCTGAGATTTATATAAATTGAAGAGATTACACAAGACAAGAAAGAAACTATATTGTATAGATATATACATCATGGTTTTAAATTGCGGACCCCAACACGTATTGCGGCCGCAATATTGCTGTTACGGCCTTGTCCGCAACGGCATCGGACCGCAATTGCGGTGAGACTGGAAATCACACATTTTTCCGCAACGTAACGGTGTTGCGTCCGCAACACATCTGAAATGCACCGCAATACATCCGTAATACGACAAATTGATATTATAATTTTAAAATAAATTAAATTATTCATTAAAATAATAGAATATTAAAAAAAAAGGAATTAAAATGTATAAATCCTTAAAAATAAAATATATATTGATAATTATAAATTTTTTATATTTAGTGAAAATAATTAATAACTTCACACTGCAACAGCCGCAATCCGCATCGCAATACTCGCAATACCCGCAATCACAGTAACCGCAACCGCGACCGCAATTTAAAACCATGAGTTTAACTATTCATGGCTTGACAAAGACTTTATAAATCAACTACTATATTGAATAGTTAGTGCATTATAGACTATATTATTAATTTAGTAGAAAGTTGGACCTAGCTACCTATGGAATGAAACTGTGACATGCTTCCAGTTCCAGGATATCCCATTGGCCCATTATGAAATACCGATACTTCAATTTGCTTCACGTATCCGATACGTATCCGACATGATACTCTTAGATACTCTATCGATACGTATCAATGAAGTATCTTAACTTTTGAAAATATTATGAAAAATTTTATTTCATACCGATACTCTCAGATACTTCACCGATACTTATTGGTGATACGTATCGATAAAGTATTCAAATTTTTGAAAACTTATGAAATATTCATTATAGCTAAATAAGATATATAAACATGTTTAATATAGAAACACAGAAATATTGGTCCTTGATAAACTATAAATGAAAATTGTCTTCTATATAAATAATTTTAAGAAAGGAATGAAATTGGTAATATTATTTCTATTTGTAAATAATAAAAAGTAATTTATGATGAAATGATTTATAATTATTTTTAGTAATAATGTACAATAAGTATGTTTTTAATTAATTTAAATTTGCGAAATAACAATTATATATTTAATGTTTATGAATTTTGATCAAAATTATAAGTACAATTATTATATTGTATGAACATTAATATATATGACGACACGTATCTTACAAGTATCGTATCTTATATATTTTAAAATAATCATATCGCCGTATGAATACGTATCTGATATGCATATCGTATCGGTGCATCTTATGAAGAGTTTACCAATAAGTTCAAATTCTTGACACAATTCTATCTACACATTTCAAAAACTCAAGAATTTTGTTGCCTCTGTAAAGGTAAAACAATAATCAAAGAAACAAAAATTGGGGTCACTTAGATTCCAAAAATGTTTTAAATTTATATATTTTTTTTTATTTTTATTTTCACAAGTAATTAAGGTACGTCTGGTTTGAGAAAAAATTTTGTCCCATGTTTTTATTAATAAGGTTTAGTTAGTTTTTTCTTTCTTCTATAATTTCATTAATTTTACATTTTATTCTTTAAATAATTAAAAATATTTCATTCAGTTTTTATATATACAATTTTTTTAATTTTTTCAGTCTCTATATAATTACATAAACTTTATATTTTTATTCCCTATTGAAATAAGCAACAGAAACTAAAAGAAATAAAAGAATTATATGTATCAGAATTAAAATGAAATATTTTTAACTATAAAGGCTTAAAAAATAAAATATATAAAATTATAGAAACTAAACCTTCTGATGATTACAACAATTAATTTTGTGATTTTCATTTCTTCACCATAATCACTAGCCTCATTATTCACTCATATCAATACAATCAATTCTTTCATGGTCTCTATATATCTATATTACTGATGGTATTTGTATTACTCGAGCTTAGAAATCTCCCTATAGAGGATAGCCTATACTAGTTAACAGATCTTCACTGACATTGCATCTATTTGTTTCTTCTTACTAAAAATAGATTGCAGTTTATTAACAATTGTAGATCATTGAAGTTTAATCAAGAAGAACAAGGATAATGAAATCACGAAGTGAAAATAAAGAGAGTACCTATTGCCAAGAATGGAATGCAAGTGAATGATGAGATCTTCCTCTTGGGGTGAGAATGCACCACGTTTGAGGTCAGGTCTCAAGTAATTAATCCAACGAAGACGGCAACTTTTGCCACACCTTTGAAGACCAGCATTCCTGGCAATGTCACTCCAACACCCTTGTCCATTTGTCAACATGTACCTTATGAGCTTCTCATCTTCATCAGGTGACCACAACCCTTTTCTCAACTTGATCTTAATGTTGTTCACTTTGTCCTTGTTGGCCATCAGATCAGGTTTCCTCATTTGCCTACACACTCAATAATGCTTATAGTATGGTACTACAACCAAAGCTATGTGGAATGTTTTTTTTTTTTTTCTTGCTTTGAGTGTGATATGATAGAGGTCTAAGAGAAAGGACTATATAGGTGAATAATATTTATGAGGGACAGATAAAAGGCTTCATAGGGTGGGAAATGGTGATGATGATAGTGATGGTTGTGGAGTTTGCTTAAAATATGAATATGCATGAGAGAGAGAGAGAGGATTGTGTTTGTTGGTTGATGGGTAGAGTGGAAAACGGATTGGAGGGGGACCTCCCTAGAGAGTGATCAGAGAGACAAGAGAGAAGGATGGTTGGTCTTCTTGTCTTTGACTCAATTCCAGTTTTTTGTTTCCATATGTTTTACTTCACTCACAAGGTAATCATCTTTTTTTTCTATGAAGCTCAAACAATTTTGCTTCCACTTCACATAATACCCTCCCTCTCTCTCTCTCTCTCTTGATTTTAAACTTCAAATTCACGTGTGTTGAGACCAGATAGAGATGATGACTATGCTACTTTTGGGATTTAATTTAATACCACAATGTTGCACGCTTGACATTTGTTTGTTAAATTTCATGTTCTTTTATCATTGTGTGTAACTTACACTCCGTGCATGAATTTCAAAAGGGCTAACCACTGAATTGGCATATTTCTGAAGCAAATTATGTGCACCTCCAACGAAGCAACACCATTTTTTTAACCTTTTATTTTTTTCCTTTTTTGGCATAATGTTGCTACTGCCATACATTAGAGATTACGGCTCTATCAATCACTTAACATGAGATTTTATTTGTTTTGAGAAGTAAAGTACAAAAGCCATCACTTGCAATGTGTAGAATTTAGTTTAACATTCTAATCAAGGATGTACAATGGTGATAATTATGTTAAACTGTTTTAAAGACAATGAATGAATAATTCTTGGTTAAAAGTTGGTTGCTGCACGAAGTGACCAGAGGAATGTACCATAACTGAGGAGTTATTACATCAATTAGATTATTATCCTTGGTAATAACAAAAGAAGGAAAAGGGATGTGGCTTGTTTTATGCAGCTTAAGATAACATGATTATATGGTTAAAATCTGATTTTTTTATTTTTATTCTATCTTTAACAAGGACTTCTACTTACTATTATCATACTGTAAATGTAATTTTCTCTTTTATCTTTCGAAATAAAGAGATTCATTAAGGAGAATCGTCTTTTCCAATATTTACTTCTCTAACAGGGATTTAAAAAGTAAACTCTGAACACACATTTATGAGACATGGTTATCTATTAACCATACAACACAATGAAAGTATTGTAAATGTATATCTTATTCATAATAACGGCTATACAAAATATTTCTCTCTCTTCTACTATCCCTTATTTTATTTTATTATAATTAATATTGGTTAGCATGCATTACAAAACGTTGACAGGAAGTTTTGGCTTAACAGTTAATACCAAGACCTCTCTTCTAAGGAACCACTCTTCTTTCATCTAAATTGGCCTTGTTTTTTACCAAGTAGAAAATTCTCATCTAAAAACTGAACTTGTGAAATAATATTAACAATTAGCAAGAACCGTTCCATGAAATCACTCAACTCTTGCAGATAAAATCATGGACCCATCCATCATATTCTTCCTAGCTGTCAAGGGATATCTCTCAGGGTGATTCCCTTTCCTTTACCTAACATTTTCCACAGAAAAGTTTCATGAATCATAAAAAAAATTCTACTCATCAATCTCAGTCATTGTCCAATCCAAAACCAAATAGATACATATACCGGAATTCTTTGTCAAATCCAAGGGCAATATTGTTATTCTCACTCTCCAATCTCTATTGTGAATTGTGATGGAGACTTCCACAATTTTCTGGGATAAAGTGAAGCAGAAATCTCTGAAGCTACTCAAATGATTCAAAAGCATCATTTTCTGCATCCACAGCTGTCATGGAATGAAGAGGTACACGTTGGAAACAAAACCAAAACTGAAAAGAAAGTCCTCATGCTTATGAGGGTGTGCCAAGCAACATTCTACTTTGATACAAAGACAAGAAAAAACAACTCATCTGGGGATTCTAAATCACACCTTTTACCACATTATAAGAATGTGTTAGTAATATGCATAGGCCAGAAAAGTAGTAGTACTTTAACACAAAATCATCAGCTAAAAGGTGAAAGTGCTGAAAATAGAGACACATGGGAATAGAAGGTTGAGGCTCACCAATTTTAGGACAGAAAAATGTCTAGGTACAGAATCTGATTGTTCTTTTTTCTTCCCCTATGTCTATTTCAGCTTTTCTTTTTGAAAGTTTATGGATTCAATCATCACAAATGGGACATGAGAATCAATTATGTACATAAAGAAGTTCATCACTAAATTTCAGCCATCCAAATTTCAAACATGTGAAATTCCAATTCCTCTTCTCTTAAAAAATTAAGTTGGGACCATGGAAGAGTATTTGGTAGCACAAACCACCGGAGAAAAAATGTCAATGCAGAAATTTACATATATTATTGTGCTAACCCAGAAGTATCAAGAATCAAGGACATATCATACAAGAGTTTTTACAGGAAAAAAACATAAAAAGACAAAGCACTAATGAAAATATATGTTGTGAAAATGCATGCTCTATTACTCTATAATGATTCTTTTTGGATGAGTTGTGAAAATAAGAGGAAAGAAAATATAAAATAGACAAAGAAAAAAACGTATATTGTTTGGATGAAGTAAAAAATAAAAAATAAAAAGAAAATAAATGATCTTTGTATGTCTGTATATAAAAATATATACATTCAATTATTTAAATAGAAAATATATTTATATCAATTTTTTAAAAATCATATTTGTCATCAATTTAATTAGAGTACTGACTCAGTGGACTAGAGGTCAAATCGATAGGTCACTAATTGAATCACGAATTCAATTTTTATTATTTTTTTCAAAAAATAAATTTATGTCATATATATTTTATATCTATAAATTTCAATAAAATTCATATCATGCATAAAGTAATTCCAGAAAAATTGTAGTCAATACAATATTGAAAAATAGTAATGAAATTATAAATTAATATATAATTTTAAATTAAAAATATACTATATAAATTATTTAAGTCAACTGTATAATAATTGAACATGTTGATTTAATGGTCATGTTAAATAATCACATTTATAATTAAGTCAAATAACGAGTTACTAGTTGAACGGTGTAAATATATAATTTTATATAATAGATATAATATTAATATTATTTAATTCATATATTTATCACCTAAGATGTGTTAGTGCAGTGATTAATAAACATTCATTTTTTTAGAAGGGGATTAATAAACTTTCATAATTTAACTTATCTCTACAAAGTGTTTATTTTATAACACATGAAAAGAAGATAATGTAATATTTACATATATGAGAGGATATTAGTGTAAAAGATATTTTGTTAATAATTTTTTATAATAGAAATTAATGAAATTTTAATAAATTTTTTTAAAAATAGATAAAATATTATATATTGAAATATGTTGAGAGAGGAATTATAATTTTTAATATATAAAGGAAGGATATTATAATATTTATATCTCTTAAGAGTGAGAGAGGGTGTAATTTACTCTAATTTTATTGTTATATCATTGAAATGAAAAACTATAAAAAAAATTAATAATTAAACTATTTCAATATATCACTAAATATTATCTCATTTAATTTCTAATTTTGAATATAATTGATGTTAAATTGAATATAAATTTTAAAAATTATTTTGACAATAAAAATAATTATAAATTTTTTATTAGTATTTTGTTAATACTAAACATAGTGTAAAAAATAAATTTTTAACGAGGAGGGATCTGTTTATTTTAGGAGTAAGTCTACTTAAACTTACTTCGTTCAATAACTTATGTTCTAAATCAGATCTCAACGATCTAATAATCGTTGAATTTAAATTTCTGAATGCATAGATCAAATCTGCAAATTTTTAAAAAGTTTGAAAATCATTTTATACTTCGTTTCATTAATTCAAATCGATGGATAATCATAAAAATATGTTATCTGTCAATTTGAATTAATAAAACGAAGTATCAAATGATTTTAATTTTTTTTTAAAAAATTTACAGCTTTAATTTATGCATTAAGAACTTTAAATTCAATGATTGGATCGTTAAGATTTAATATAGAGCGTGAGTTATTGAACGGAGTAAGTCTAGGTAGACTTTCTCCTCAAATAAACGGATCCTCCTCATATTAAATATAATTTAATAATACTAATGACTAATGAGATATTTAATTCAGAAATTAATATTTCTTTTAATAACTTTAATTTAAAGAAAAAAGGCAATATCATTAATATCAAATTAATCTTTACTAAAGTTTAACTTTTTTTCATGATTAAAATAATTATTTTTTATTCAATCTGTTTTAAAGTTATCAACCATTCTAAAATTTAATTTTTAAGATTAAAATAATATTTTTTATTGAATCTCTTGAAAAATTTAACTATTTAGGATTCAATAAAAAAAATTCCAAAGTAATTGCATATTTATGATTTGTCCAAAAAAAATTTTTTAACTAAATTATATTAAAACTACCATTTTGTATTAAAATATTTTTATGGATCATACTATTTGTGTAAAATAATCTACCTGTTTCACATCGGCCGTTTACTTCTCATGATACTCAACTATGATAAAGTCACAGTGTGAAAGGGGTAGAGGATAAGAGAAAGCAAAAGATGAAGACAAATAAAAAATAATAGAAAACGTTTTAGTTCTAAAGACATTTTAAGGAAGACATGCTAAAAAGAGAAAGCGAAAAATAAAGAAAAAAAACATTTTAATTCTATAGACATTTTAAGGAAGACTTGCTATAGTTCTAAACTACTTTTTCTTTTAGAAAGCGATTATTTTTTTGGGTCCAGGCCTGTTACTATTTTTTTGGTCCAGGCCTATTACTATTGTTATTCAATGTACAAATTTGATAATTTTTTACACTAAAACTTGGTGTTAGAATCGTCATCCACTAAGTTATTAAGTTATAGCTCACGTCAATATCTAACTGGTAGAAGAGGATGTTTTTGTGTCTTGCTTGTAGAGTTGAGGCAAAATCTATAGCACACGTCCTATTTAAGTGTAAAGAAGCT